CACAATATTAAAACCAGGGACGCATTTCTTTTGAAGCCAAAGCTTCTCTGTGGATCATGCAATGTGTCCAGACGCATGGAGGCGATTTTTTACAAGTTTACAAGTGCTTGTATACTTTCGAACCTTCCGGATATTGAACGAGCACCATCGGTGCATATTCCGATGCAATTTTTGCATTCTATGTTTGCCTCATTCATAACTTCATTTGAAATAGCAAATAATGCTAGCGCTGTTGTTTTGAGTTCTATTGATTTGCAGAAAAGTAGTTTTACTACTGACATATTATCACAAAATCAAACATAGACAATTAAATGAGCATCTTTATTGTGCTTCATCAAACTGTATTGAAAATATTTTGTCACGCAACATGGAGAAAAGCTGACACTGCATTTTCAGCTGTATCACCAATTCGAGGAGCAACAGTATCGTTTGAAAGAGGACGGTAATTCTTTTGAGAAATTAACTCCCAACATAGTTTCTGCAATCTCAATTGCTGCTGGCTTTTACTTTACTTTTGTTTTGGCAGTTAGTTAAAAATATTTTAAAGACAGAATTCAAAATACTCAATATACATTATTGTTATATACATTTTACTGTAGGTGGGGGGCGCGATGAAAATTATGATTGAAAACTGGGCCGCGAATACTGAAAAGTTGAGAACCGCTGTCTTACGCTGTTCAGACTTACACAAAATGTAATGTTTTGTTTGGAACAACAGAAGAATATTCTGCAATAAAGTTCTAGCACGTAATGAATAGTTTAGAACTCCGGCTACGTTTGATTCAGGGTAATCTGATCTAATAATGCCTCATTCATCAAATAATTTAAAACAATCCAATAATGAAAAAGCAGCTTGATTTATAATACAGAGCAAGTCTAAATGATTTACCCAGTTTAAACACACTTCAATTCTGGAAGATAAGATATATACACTCTAAGAACGTTCACTCAGCACACGTCCCTACAGTAAACCGCGTGTTCGATAACATCTCTATAATAATGCCAGTCATTGCAGTTGCGATTTGTTCTTGCTGTGTCGTTTGCATCAGGTTTAAATAAATTTGTACGCTTGTGAATTAGACAGTGTATGTACTCTCAGTGCTAGCTTGTAAAGGAGAAAGTTTATGTAACCGCAATACCTGCTTGTGATGGAAGAAGTTTGTGTATCCTCAACTGGAGAAGAAGGAAGTTTATGAACTCCCAATGCCTACTTGTGAAGGAGGAAGTTTATGTATCTTTAATGCCAACTTTTGAAGGAAGAAGTTTATGTACCCTCAATGCCAAGTTGGAAAGGAGAAAGTTTATGTAGCCTCAATGCCAACTTATGAAGGAGAAAGTTTATGTGTTGCAATACCTTCATCGCTTTGGATGTGACGTACTTAGAAACAAGCTATTGAACGTATGAACGGAGTTATTCACCATTGCCTTCCAATCTGAACAACATTGAACATTGTAATATGTATGAGTGTATATACAGAGTGTCCAGCTGAAGAATCACTAATTTTGAACCTGAAGAATGACTAATTAGAAATCTAAGGATTTTTTTGCAGTTATTCTTAGAAACAAGCTGTACAATTTGTAAATTAAAAATATAGGATTTTTTGTAGCTATTTTTCTTTTAAAACATGATTTTTTAAAAATTCTAATCAGAGTTATAAAACTTAAAAACGATAAATTATTTTTGATTATAAGCAAAGTGTTGACAACATGTTTCACTGTGATCTATAGATTTTTTGATGAAGTAAATAAATAAATATATGTACTAAAAAAATTGCCGTCTGATTAAAGTTTTTATTTCAGAGAAATGTTATTTTTGATTGTCTGTTTTTTTATTTCACATAAAATCCCTTTTCCCAATATTTGTTTGAGATTAAAAATACCTTTTAGTGTCGACTATCTATGAATAAACATGCAAAAAATTTAACGAAATAAAAAAACTCTTTTAAGTGTGTCTACTTTCCTGTTTAATGGATTTATGCTTGCTTGAGTTTTGCAGTTAACTCTTGTGATAGAATCCAAAGCAGGTTTTTGTTTCATATCCAATTTACACAATCTGATTGATTCTCTGTTTTAAGTTGATCAATGCCATGATTCTAATCATCATGACCAACATAACGAGATTTTTTATTTTATTTTTGGATCAAAAATCATCTGATTAAATTTACTAAGAGAGTTTAAGGTGAAGTAGAAAATGCCAAGCCATCTTTGAATTTGCGAAAACATTTATTAAGCAAGGGAAAAATACCAAAACAACTTAAAATATTTGAAAATTATAATCAATTAATGAACCCTGATTATCCACTCTACTTAACTCCGCTCTGCTGTCAACCTGACCTATACCTTGATCTGACTTACGTAATGCTCCCGAGCACAGGGATTCGTTTCGATTGAAAATAAGAACAACTTTTAAAACTCCGAAAATTTATGGTCCTGCAGTGGACTGATCATAAAGAGACGGTTACCAGTTGAAAACCGAAGTCAAGAATCACTGGCTGTGGTCAATAAGTAGATGGGTGCCCACTTTGATCAGCCTACGTAGGGACCAAGGGTCCACGTTATTGGTACTCGTTGAACTGTTCTACCGTAAAGTGTTCGACTTCGCGCGCAGGTTGTTAGGCCATCAAAGAGGAGGAGCTATTCCCTCTGCTGAGGATCAAAATTGTGAAAATATCTTTGTCCCTTCCTCGGGGATGTTTACCAGACCGTCGCCAATAGCCCATTGTGCAGCTCTAGTGTGACGCAAATAAAATACCTATCTACGAAACATTTTTTAGCAGAATCTTCCAGACAACACAGCTATTCCAGACAATAAAAGTGTAATGCACAACAAAACAAAAGCTTAACTGTCTCAGAAGAGTCAATGATCTTATAGTTGTCTACGGCTCGACTCTAGTGTTTAAACCTTCGCCTCGCAGAAAATTATCCTTATAAAAATTAGCCAAGAGAATACGCAACGTGAACGGGGCAGAATATCTAAACTGTTTCGGTTTTAATGTTTATATTTGCCTCATGAGCAAGGTGATCTCCGAAACAAGAAAGACGGCTCAACCGATTCCTTTACGTAACAAGCTCTGTTTTGTGTATGATCGGTTAAAAGTTCACTCGGATAAGTCACAAAATTGAAATTTGACAAGTTGTCTCTTCTTATACCATTAGATTTGCACTAATTATTCAGTGCACTGTTTGGCTCTTAGTCATTCATCAGATCAGACATGATTTAAAGAGATAGGGAGTATAGAGTCGAGTGTACGTACGGAACAAAATGCAAGTATTAAAACAGGGTAAAATAAGCAAAGGGTATAACATAGGGAAAGAAGTCTGACTTCCATAGACATAATGTAAACCATTTCCCCAAGGTTAGGAGCGGTTCCTGTCTATGAAGAGAAAAACAACATTTAAGGACACAACACATCAACAGAGTTTGAAAGGGTTTGCACCCTCTTCTCCTCCCAATCACGACTGGGGTTGGTGTGAAGAAGAAATTTTTTTCTTTTTGTTTTAGTGTTGGCTTGATCTGCATTTGCATACTATTAATATACAGTACTGTACTTTTAATTACGATGCTTCTTTTCGAATACATTTATATCATCCATGTTAATTCTGCTAACACATTTTTACATAGAAGGAAAGAATAAAATGGCGGTAGACAACATATCCAACCATAAATGGAGAGCTGTCCGATAACCGGTTCAAAGGTGGCGTACCCACAGACTGTCACTTCATTTCTGGATCTCAGTACATGTGATGCTTTGCTAAATTTGAGTATGTTTCTCACCCTGTAAGTTGTTCTTCTGCTATAGTGTACCGCACAGAGCAGTTCCTCGTGTTACGCATTCGAAGAGCAGGACTTCTGCATTCTTTAACATAAGCGAATGAAAGGTGAACCTATCGCTCCCGTGGCTGTCTTCAGCTTTTGGTGGGTTGCTCACGTTGACACCAGTCTGATATACATGAATATAATAAAATGGAAAAGGGACTATTTACAATATTTCTTGGGTAGTTTATCATGAAATCGTTAACCTTGGGAGAACTGAATTGGAGATTGATAGTTCTCTGGTTTAAGTCAAAAACACACACTGTTGAAATCTTGGGCGAAAATTAAATTTTCCAAAATGCTAAAGTAATTTTCAACTCAGTTAATCCAGCTAATCTGAATGTAATGGAATCGTTTTTCACTGACATGAATGTTAATTCATTTGTTAAAGAGTTATTCTCTATCTATTTCTCCATAGTGCGTGGAGTCCCGCAGTGGACTGATCGTTAAGACACGGTTCCCAGCAGATCACCGAAGTCAAGCATCACTGGCTACGGTCAGTGTGCGGGTGGGTGACCACTTGGATCAGTCTGCGTAGGGACCGAGGGTGTGCGGTATTGGTCCTCGTTAAACTGTGCTACCGTAAAGTGCTCGACTTCGCGCGCAGGTCGTCGGGCTACCGAAGCGGGGGTGCCATTCCCTCCGCAGAGGATCAAAATTGTGATGGGTCTTCGGATCATCCTCCGGGATGTTTCCCAGACCGTCGCCAATAGCCCATTGTGCAGCTCTAATGCGACTTAAATTAACAACAACAACCATAGTGCGTGGAAATGTGTTTCCCCTTTATCTGCTGCTCTTGACCACGGGGGTACTCCTTGCTGTTTTTCCTTTTTATTTATTTAACTTTTTTTTGTTTTACTCTTGGCTACCGTGCTTTTTCTTGTTTTGTTTTTCCATTTATGAGTGATTTTATTTTTATTTTATCCGTCGTTGAACAGCTGACCCAATTTTGTGTTTACGACTTTAGTAGTCGTAAACCCAAACCGTCAACTCCGTCACCTTGTAATATTGAACCAATCCAGAAACACAAGGAAACTCCTGGATCAGTACCCCCAGAGGTATTGATTTGTTATGGGAACATGGAAGACTTTGAGACTAGACAGATTTAACGTGCATCAGTCACTGACTTTTTTTCTTCTTTCCTCCAAGCCCTGAGCATGTACCTAGGTTATGAAAACCCTTAACCATATAGCCCAGTACTTGGCCGCTGGTCCAGCTCCGCTCCAGCCTAAATAACATAATATTTAAGAAAATTTAAAAAAAGAAAGAACAGATTTTACTGAAAGTGTGGAATTTAAGAAGAAATAAGACAAAAAAATATTATACATGTGAAATAGGAAGTTATTAAAATTTTAATAGATAGTCATTATCCGCTAAGAAGTCATTACTGTTATTAATCTTTTGTTTAAAGTATTGTTTGTAATAAAAGTTTTCTGCCAAATTTCTAAATTTGTTGGGCTAGGTTGACGACTATGCCAGGAGACAGTGTAGGGACAACTAGTGAGATAATGTTCAGGCGAACCTTGTTGGCAGCAGGTGCAAAGATCAGTATCTGTTATATGCAGGTAATTAAAGAAGGTTGGAAATGGTCCATGACCCGTCAAGAACCAGATGACTTGTTTTGGAGGAATTGTTTTGAAAAAAGTAACATTGTTAATAATTTTGAATAGACGTCTGCCTCTGTCTGAATTATTCCATTAAAATTGCTAATTTGTTAGAAGAGAATCTTTAATACGTCGTTTAAGATATGAAACTGGAAGTGGGTATACATAATTTTTCGGTTGTCTCGTAGATTGTTTAGCTAAATCATCTGCTTTTTCATTACCTACTCTATTGCTGTGTGCTTGAATCCAGGAAATTTGAATTGATGTGTGTTGTAGTTCTTGGTGAATATCAAAAGAAATTCTATTATTTGTGCCAAAATCAAGTATTGATGATATTGATGATTTTGAGTCATTGATTGATCAGTCATTGACTACACGGAGTCTTCGGCCGGCGAGGATCGAACCCACGAACTCTTGGACATGAGCCCAGTGCTCTACCGACCAGGCTATCCCGGCCATTTATGAATGATTGACCGTGCAAAGCTAAGCACAGATGGCACTATGGGTTAAAATTAAATTGTATTCACGTAGTAGTGTTTAAAATCTTCAAAAATCATAATTTATAAAAACAAAAATATGTTAAAGCACACAATCCATCACCATTTTATTTAATCACGAAAATCTTCAACCCAAAGGAGGAAGAGTTAGAAAGTATATTATGAATACGAGAATCTATCTAAAGGTTTGGGTAAAGATTCCCAAAGTCCTATTTTTTCCAAAATGTAAAGAAAAAAAACTTTATAATCCTTTATCTAATCCTTTTGTTATCTAATGCTGTAAGAATCTTATATAAATGAAAAACAAAATAACTAAAAGCAAAACACATAACAAAACAATGAAAATTTAATATGTTACATGTAAGAGTACATATACATTTGCATGTACAAGCACAAAATAAACTTTTGTGAACAATGTAAAGGTAACAAATTTTTAAGTTAAGTTCTGGACGCCAAACATGAAAGGCTGATTGCATTCAGATATGCCAACATGAAATTTTTAAACAAATGAAGGAATGTTATTTTAAAACAACTATATAGTGCTTAATTACTGTCCAGCTATCACGAGATGAGTTTCCTTTTTAGATGAAAACAACCTCACAAAGAGCCCATCTCAAGATTGCCAGATAGTAATTAATTAGATAAGCTCTTTGATGAGATAAGCTCTTTTTATGAGGTTGCATTCAAGTAAAACGGAAGTTTATCTCGCGATTTCCAGACTCTATTTCAAAATGCAATTAATTACAACAACAATGCGAAATATAATTAATACGAAACTCTACAAAGAACGAAAAACATCTATAAGGTTGAATAAATATAAAATGCATTTCAGTAACACTAAAATTCGTAAAAAAAAAACAGCATTTTTAATTTAAAAAAAAAACCTTAACTGCTGAAACATATCACATTAAGTACCTCTGAAACAAACAATGGTACAATCTCTATAATCGTATAATCTCATTCGCTTCACAATATCAAAACAAAGACTCAGTTCGTTGTAATGAGACAGATGATAGGCTATGTCGATTTTGAAGATCCATTGGTATTTATATTATACATTTCGTTGATGGATTTCTGATAGAATTGTTCAATGATTTTCCTCCTAATTTTGAAAGCAGCAGTGACCAAACCGGTTTCTGGTTGCCATTCTTCGGCGCACAGTTTCACTTTGGTTGGAATTTCTGTTCGTTGCAGTCTGCCTGTTTAAAAATAGAAACAAATTAATTAGTGGAATTGAAATAAATGTACAAGGTGTCCTAAAACTTATGAAACAAGCAAAGAAAGACGAATTTATGAAAGATTTTTAATGATTCGTGAAGTGAGAATACAGAATGGGAAACACAATGGAGAGATTTTTCATAGCATTATTAGTTTCCCTGTTGGTCTGAAACGGCTCAGTGGTTAAAAGATACAGTAAGGGATGTGTCATTGTAAATGAATATAGTTCCACCCCCTGTGAAGTTCATCCAGCTTCGTATAATGGTTATCAGCTTTTACGGGAAGATAAGTCTGCTTCTGCCCAATGCTCACCCCATTTCCACAGTCATGCGCTGTTTACCAAATTGTTTAACCTCAATCTCTATGACCCCTAGCCCCAAAACGGGTTGTTGTTTCGGCAAATCATAGCATTGCTTAGGGGTTATAAAGGTAGTGAATCGCTGTATTGCTAAGGGGTTATAAAGGTAGAAAATCTCAGCAAATAAAGATAGCAAAATGTTTCTGCAAATCGAAGCATTACTAATGAGTTCTAAATGCAGCAAATCGCAGCATTGCTAAGGTTTTATAAAGATAGTAAATCACTGCATTGCTAAGAGATCATAGAGGCAGCAAATAAAGGTAGATTAATGTTTCTGCAAATAGCAGCATTCAAAGGGTTTTTAAAGGTAGCTTTATTATTAATATTAGACTAAAGCTTTGAAAAATCTTTAATGATAGAATAAGCATACGGCATGGAATAGCATAGAAAATGACGTCTGTGTTTTTTTTTTTCGACATCTATGCATTTTTTCATTCTTCTGGTCAAAATTTGCAACTACCATTTTCTTATAAATGTAACGGAATTCTACTGATATATTATCAGTTTTAAGCCGTGGGCGATTGCTGGCATACTTCATTCGACCTATCGTCTTGAAAAAAAAAATTTCGTTTTAACGAACAAAAACAGGGGGAACAATGAAGAGCTTCGTTGAACTTTATTCAGTTTAAAAGTAAAGGAAACTAATAAAGACATTCGTTCTGGCTACCAAACATGCATCGTAGAGAAATAAACCAATTTCTAAACATACCAGAATGTAAAATGGTATTTTCGTCGCTTCTTTCATTTCAGAATGAAAATTTGATTGTTCAAATGTAAAAAGTCAGTATAATTTGAAAGAAACTTGTGATTGCGACAAATGCACGATTATAACACGTCAAGAATTTAGTCCTCTTGGTAAAGAAATGATCTACCGTTAAAAAATAATTCAAAGAAAAGTGTCCTCTGGATCTCATACAGATAAGCACCTCATGTTATTTTATTTTATTTTATATAACCGCCGTTGAACAGCTGACCCAATTTCATAGGCTTACGACTACTAATGCTTAACTCCATAGCCTTGTCATTTTGAACCCAATCCAGAAGACAAGGAAACTCAGAATTGGAAGAAATTTGCTTTCATGGAGGACTTTTTGATGCACCTAACCCGCATTTGCGTTACATGGAGAGGAAGTCCACTAGAACCTCCCACAGTTAGACTGACTGCAAGGGGACTCTAACCCATGATCCGCCTACTACTGAGGATATATCACGTCAGCACTGTGGACTGTGCAAACCGGATGCGAAATTCGTATCGACTGGGATTCGAACCCAGTTTGCTTCGTTGGAAGGCAAACGCTTTATCCTCTGAGCACACCCGATGTTATTGGAAGTTCTCAAAGAGCACACTGCATTAAGATATTGACAAAATCAATGAATATAACAGGTTCGTTTAAAACTACTTTGTTTTCAAGCGCAAGTAGTGACATCAGTTTTGGATCCATTATCTTCTTTCTCGTTAGAAAAGAAGGGAAAAAATAGGTAATGAAAAGAGCATTAAAGCTGCCACTTTTAAGCTAGAATGAATTAGAATGAATAAAGAGTGTATAGCAGAATAGCTGGAACCATCTCCATTGCACCATGCTTAGACAAGATCATGAACTCTGAGGTAACATGATAAAACGATGCTTTGAATTATTACTGCTATTTAAAAGAAGAGAAGCATGGAGACATGAGACCAGTGTCTGCCTAAACAAAGATTAACCTCGATGAGGTAATAAACACCGTATGACTCCTCAAGAATAAATATTGAACAACAAATATGCAGTTTGCATTACAGTCTTGAATTGAAACTGCTTTCTTATTGACTGAAAAATTTCACACAGCAACTACCAAGTTCTAGAAAAGTGGGGAACAATTAGAATTATCAATTAAAATAATAGAAGAAAACAGAAATGTGTGGTATAACGTGTGTATACCACACAGAAATGTGTGGTATACGCGGTATAACGTAATCTGTTTGAAAAGAAAAATAATTTAGTCCCTCCAAATATCAAAATCAGATACATTGTTTGTCTACAGATGGCTCTGTTAACTAGAAAAGTGAGACATTATTTCTATTGCATTAGCTTCACAGACCAAATCTAATTAAAATATTTATTCGGGGGTGATAAAATCCTCCCCCACACTCCCCCACGTCATTTTTGCTGATAGCGGTTATTTTTAAAATAGTTTCTCAGTTCGCAACATCATCTGTTATCGAACTTAGCAACTATTTTTGAAACTTTATGAAAATAATTTCCCTTCCTACCTAAACAGAAAATAACAACCACATGTTTACGTTTTCTTCAGTTTTTTTTCTCTCTTTTCTTCAAAGAAAAATTAGATTTTGAAATTTTGACATTCGGTTCCAATGAAAAGCATTGCTTTTTTATTAAAATTTCGTTTAATAAGTGGAAAAAAGCTTACTTTTTTGCCCTTGCTCAACTATAGCCTTTGTGTAAGCATTGATGATGGCCGGATCTTGACACAGTTCATGCAAAGAGAGTTCTCCTTTACCCAGACTTTTTCCCAAAACCTTCAGCTGCTCGACGCTTGGAACGACCAGGGCAACTAAATAATCATGAAGACCATTGCCCACAACGCAGATGTTGTCTACAAGTGGGCAAGTTTTCAATTCTGATTCCACTTTGCCAAGTGATATGTACTCACCGTATTGGAGCTTCACCAGGTCCTTCTTTCGATCTGAGAATGAAAAAAAAAAATCGATTAAGAGAGCTCTCGTCTCGACCAAACTAAACTGTCGAGAGAGACGGAGGGAAAAAAAATTCAAAATCTGGTTTTAATCCTCTTTAACTGACAAAGAATATATATATTTTTTCCGTTCAAATTGTTTGATGCATGTAAAATACAACACCCAATCAGAGTTTTGGATTTAAAACTTGTAGCAGTTTAGATACTCCTTCATTTTTTTTTCTGACAAAATCATAAGCCTTCAGCATTTTTGAAAATTATTCGAATAGTATACAGTAGTCTGCTTTTAGATTTTGAAAGAAGAAAAAAAACATTAAGTAACTCTAAAAGATTTAATTAGATTATAATCCAAATCTGTTTTTTTTTTCATTTAAAATTTTTAAACTCATCAAAAAAGCGACATATGTATAGTATTAAATGATTTTATCGAAACCGTAAATCGCATTAGTTTATTGTCTCAAGTCGATAGAAGTTCTAAAAAGTTATCAATCGCTATTTCTAGTCAATAAGGGAATCCCTTTATTTTTTACCTATTTTTAAAAACATGCCCGTGAAATAGATACTATACCATCAAAAGTTTTTAATGTTCAAAAAATATCCCGAAAACGTAAAATCCAAGATGGCGAGTTTAACGCCCCTGCAAATGAGTTAAATTCCCCAAACTCGAGACTCTTGCAGTTACTAATAGCTGGGGTATTTATCAAATTTTGTATCACCGTGTTGTTGTTGGAAATGTGCTCTTCAAACCGAGACTTAAATAGAGACTTATATGTCGAAAATCAGGGCATAAACCAGTATTCCTTTGCTCTAAGTAGTTGGAATTTTAATTAAGGATTTTAGTTTTTTTCCTGCTAAAATCATTAAGCACTGCGCTTCCTTTACGTAACTTGATTTTTGAGGGTTATTCTATATAATTTGAGTATTTCTAATAATTTAGTAGAGGAATTTTATAGCACCTAACCACTCCTAAATATTTCGAAATTTATTCTAATTCAATGTGTGGAGTTTCTATCAAATTTCTTCCCACTTTTTTCGAATCTCCCTTTTTAATTATGTTTATCAAAATTGTTCTTCCATAATTATTATTATAACCGTGGTTGCACAGTCCACCAAATTTTTGGGTTTACGCCTACCAATGCTCAACTCCGCACCCTTGTAATTTTGAACCAAATCAAGAAGACAGGCGAACTCCTCCTGGATCACGTATTAGGAGAAATTTGATTTCGTGGAGGACTTTCCGATTGAAATCACCCGAATTCTCTTTACACGGAGGAGAAAACCACGAAAACCTCCCCCGGTTAGCTGGCCGGCAAGGGGACTAAGCCACTGAGGATATTTTACGTCAGCACTGTGGTCGGTATAAGCTGGGTGCGGAATTCGTATCGACTAGCCCTCGCTGGGATTCGAAATCTTTACTTCTGTACCATTATTTAGTGTTTGGACACTGAGGAAGGTTCTTGTTTATAAAGTCGAATCAATAGTTTGTTTATTTTTGCACTTTTTTTATTTATTATAACCGTTGTTAAGCAATTTATTCAATTTTGAGTTAACTACCGATGTTTAACTTCGTAGTCTTGTAATTTTGAACACAATCTAGAAGACAAGGGAACTCTTGGATCAAGTATTGAGAGAAATTTGTCTTCGTGGATAGAACTAACCCCCATTTGCGTTACACGGAGAGAACAAAACAACAAAAACTTCCTAAAGTTAGCTTACCGTTAAGCGGACTCTAAAATATGATCCAGCAACTACTATACATATATTACGTCAGCGATGCGGTCGGTGCAAGTGGCGTGCGGAATTCGTCTGGACGAATCATGGCTGGGATTTGAACCCGGTTCCCCCTCATTCTACGGCGAGCGCTCTATCCCCTGAACCACCGCGAATCCTGTATTTTTATTTCTACGTTATTCACATTTTTCAGTATTTAAAGCTCGGTTTTAATTTTCTCTATTTTTTGCATGAATCTGCTAACATGGTATTATTTTTCACATGGGAGCACTAAGCGCTCCCGGTGAAGCGACATAACTTTTTATTCTCCATGATTTTTCGATGAGCTGTATAGTGCGGAAGCGGAATCACCCGTTACCATACTAAAAAGGAAACTAACCAATAATTTTGTATGTTCCATCTGGGTACATCTCTCCGATATCACCGGTATAAAACCATCTCACTCCATCTTCTTCTTTGAAGCATTCTTTGGACAGGGCATCGTTCTTGAAGTATCCCGGGGAAACACAATCTCCACCAATCACAATCTCGCCCCGGGGATGGGGCTTGTCTGTCGCATGGTAGTTACCTAAAAACAAAATGAGCATGCAGTAAGTAAAATAGAATCATTGTTCTACAACACATTAAAGCAAAATAATCATCTGTTACTATGCAACATTACAAATTTTATACCACTTCAAGTAGAATGCATAGTAAGACAGTTAAACACTTTTGTACAGGATAGTTCAGTACAGAATTTATAAATTTGGATGAGAGGTAGTGTACATTAGAAGTATTGAAAATTGTACAAAATCCCATGATCTAGAAGTTCACTGATACTTTATTATGAACTGGCTGTTCATACGCACTTGAAACGACAAAAAATATGATGAAAAAACGCTATTGGCCTAAAACACAATTTGAAAAATCGTATTTTGGTTTTTATACACCTATAAATGCTGTAGACTTACGTACTGTTTTATACTTGAAGATCAGTATGGTTCTTTGTAATGGTTGTTATTAGGGCAACATGCAAATATCAGTAAGACTGCTATGGGAATCCAAGCTAATTTTTAAGGCAGAGGGTTCCGTTTATTGTTTTTTAGCGGCTCCAACTATGGCCAAGAATACGAATTTCAGTCAACACACGTCAAAACACGTTTTTATATGGCGGACCCAATCACACTCCATCCATTCATCCACAGATCCTAAGTTTGACCTGAACCAGAGAGTGACCACTCTCCAATTCAGTACCCCTGCAGTATTGGTTTGATATGAGAACTTGGAGGATTCTGTGATCCTACAGATTTAACGTGCACCAGTCACCATTTAATACACGGAAATTCTTTGGGTGGCCGGGATCGAACTCACCAACACGAGCCTAATGTCCTACCCGCCAGGCAATCCCGGTCCTTTGTTATGGCAGCTGAAAGCAAACAAATTACTGGAGCGGTAAAAAATTTTAGAAACTAGACTAGACATTCGGCAAAGGTTTAAGATCAATTGTTTCAAATATACGGTTTTTAAAATGAATTTTTTTTATTCCTTTGTTTTTAATCAATGAAAAATTTTTTACTTTGTGTTAAGTTTGTTCTGTTATGTTAAGTAAAATGCTTTAAAACCGAAGTTATTCCACTAAAGGTATTAGCATACATAATAAACAATGAGGATTTTATTAAATATTTTACCTTCGGGCCAATCCACAAGTTTCATGTAGCAACTGCTAAGTGGCGCACCACAGCGTCCTGTGCTGTAATCTTCCACTAAAAATCATAAATGTCATTAGTCTCAAAAAATTTACAAACTTTGGCCACTTTTTTTTTGATAAAAGAATTCACAAGTACTGCAGATCGGAAGAACATCAAAGTTACCTTGATTATATGCCACAGCAACTCCTAGTTTTCTTAGGAATAAACTTACAATATTAAATACATGTTGAAATTAAATAAGCTTATAACATAAAATAAAAGGGAAGTCGAATAAGCTTACAACATTAAATAAGGAATGAACGTGTGAAAATTAGAGCATTTTATGAGAATTGAAGAAATATGTAATGAAAAAATTAAATTGTGAAAATTGGAATAAAATTGTAAAAATAAGAATGAAAATATGAAATTTTTTTAACTTTCTAGAAAAACTGAAAAAATACAGATTAAAAAAATGCGTGCAAAACTATTTTTTTTAATCAAAATATTTTATTACTCTTGCAGGTATATTTTTTTATTGGAAATTATTGCAATTAAAATCTTAATTTTCATTGATTTAATAAACATAACTAAAAGTTTAAACTTTTGAAGCAATAGCCATCTTTACAAGTTATTTTCAGTTGTCGTTTAGTTTTGGATTTATTCAAAGTATTTTCAGATTGCATTCTGAAATGCAATTGAAATTAAAAATTATTTTGAAAAAGAAATAATTCAAACTGATATTTTATTATTTAGAAAAGAATAGTACAAACGTTTCAGTATTTAAGGTTGATTTTCGAGTAAAAATTTAATTACATCTTTTATTATTATCACAATACGCTTTCAAACTTAGAAAGTAATTATTTAATGAAGAAAACTGAGTTAACATTTTCGATTTATAGTTATTAACTTTCAAAAATGTTTGAAGAATAAAAATAGAAACCAGTTTTTCAAAACTCTTATAAAACCATTTTAATAATTGTAACTTGTTTAAAATATACTAACCCTCAATTCCAGATTTCATTAAATAACAAGTATTTACTATCAAACGATAAGTATTAAAACAAAAAGAAAAAACATTAAAATGAAATACATAGATTCCAGAATTAAAGAGTAATTTTAATCTATTTTGAAAACAAAGTACTATCGAAATATTTCATAAAGTTTTTTTTTATATTTTTTTAAATTTTTTTTTTTAAGCGAGTAATGCTTTTGCCCTAAATGTATTTAAAGAAGCATACTTGTATGCCTACAAATCCTTGAGCTGTCTATACCTCGAAAGGGAAATAAAAAAAAAAGGAAGTCAGTTATTGTAATGAAACAAAACTCTGAATTCTAAACATGAAAATTAAATACGCCATTTTTTAAGCCAGAAAATATTTATTATTTCCAAAAAAACGTTTGTTCTGCATTAAAATATTAAATCATTGATAATTTAACACCTTTGCAATAGGGAAAATATAAAGATGCAAATAGGGTAAATGGGGTTAATGAAGTTATTCGTTGTTCAGTTGTGTACAATATGTCAATTCAAAAAAGTCATAGATTTACTACTTTTTATGAATAATTTTCTTTGTAGAAAAAGTCGCTTCACTCGGTCTTCACAAGTGAGGTATTTTTGGAAAATAGAAAAAAGTTACAATTAGTTAAAGGGTTTAATAACAGATGGCATTGCGAGCCTCTGATGATCAGAGCTTTCAGTTCTAGCGTCAAACAAATCAAACGAGGTTGCCCTATCATATTATTAGGTCTTAAGTCATGTGTTCAATTAAACAACGTTTGTTTCTGTTATTGGAATATCGCAGGTGACATTACAATCAAAAGTCATTTGCATTTCTCAAAACATACTCCATACAGCGCCATCATTTAGTAACTTTTGTAACTAAATTATTTAATTTTGCATTTTTCACAAAATATTAAAAATTTCTTCATTTGTTTCAGAGATTTTCAAATTCGAAATCAGTTAGTCTGCCACTGAAAAGTTTCATAAAACAAAACAGTTTTGGTAGACTAAAATGGGATACCTACCAAATGACGTAGTATGGGTATCTCGATCCTGATTGGTTGTTGAAACGTGGCATTTGTTCACGGTAGTAACTGTTTTTTACATTTTATTTCTTGTAAGCCAAGCATGTCAAGTATCAATTCTACGTACTATATTCTTTCATTTTATATTTCTAACTCAACACAAAGACGGGCACAAAGCTATTGAGATCTTAAACAAGCTAATGCATTGAAGTTGACAGGTACGCAAAAAGAAAAATCACGGTTACAATAAAATACATAAACAAATAATAAATCTAAGTTAAGTAAAAGACGTAGATGAGAAAGAATTTTATTTTAACAAATTCAATTTGTGGCACGGACCTGTATTTATTTAACTTAACTGTAATGAACTTTTTAACTTACGTGGAGAAAATTTAACACGCCGTTTTGCTTACAAACGATCAGCTGGTGCTTACGTCATTGGTCACGTATATGTGGTCTTCTTAAAGTGCAAGTAACCAATCGCGAAACTGAAAAATAAAAGTGCTCTTTCCCTTGGGATATTGTCACACTGTGGTATTGATGCTGCTCTTTTTAGTTTCTTGATTCCTGATAACAATTTTCGGAATAGCTCAGAAACCATATATTTGACCAAAAACTAAAGATTTAAACTTAACGCTACTACGTTTGCACTTGGTGCTATTTTTTTAAGTACAAGTGATTAGGGGGTTGTAATTACTTACATGCCATTATTGTAGCACTTGCGGCTGTTTCTGTCATGCCATAAGCCTGAACCATTCGGACATCGAGGCACATTCGGATGAAGTCGTGAGTGTCTGGAGAAAGAGGGGCACCTCCACAGGCCATCACTCGAACGTTGCCACCAACCATCTCCTTAATCTTATTAAATACTAATCTATACAAAGAGTTAAACATAAATGTAAGTATAACAATAAAACTATATAATAGAGTATAATAGAATATGTGTAACAATAAAACTATATGAGAGAAATAAAACGACAATCGGTGGCCTAAACTTTTAAAATTGAGAATGCAAGAAAAAAAGAACCATTATTTTTTCCCAGATTCTTTTTTAGAAGTTTATAATGGTTCATATTTTCTCTTTTTTATGATGTTATTATTCCAAGCAAAAATTTCTATCAGGCTACCGAAATAAGTTTAAAATTTTGAAAAGAAAGGGGAAAAACAACGAACCATTTTTAACATTTATGCTGACATAATTTATGAACCTTCATAGCTCATGGTTGCTTAATTTAAAATTTTATTTTCACGAATTTTTTTACATAAAAGGGGCACCAAGAATATAATTTAACATACATGGTAAAATGTATATGCAAAATATCAATGATAAGGCTCTGGAGAGATATAGGCATGAATTCGGAAATTAAACTTTAATACTTTATTTAAGAGGTATAAATAATTAATATATTACTTTAATTATTACCTCATTAATTTACATATTACCTTTACATTATTTTAAATTATATTTAAGAGGCAAAAACAGGAGTTCTGATATATAAGATGTGCCCTGAAGGACATCCTATAGGATAAATTTTACCCCACGAGGTCAGTTAAGAAGAGCGCTATACAGCGGGTAAAAAATTTCATGTGGTATTTTGTTATAGCTCCATTGGTATTTTAAAATTCAAAAGTATAGAGATCAGTATGTTATAGTAAATCTAGAAAAAACTATAAAATTTTAAAAACTGATAAAAAATCTTTTCAAACTATGAAAATGCAAAGAAATTATTTTAATAATATAAACTATTTAATAATATATTATATTATGAATAATATAATTTATACTATATATTATCGTCCCCACTGTATGAACTCTGGTAGTTCTACCATAATATGTTTGCATTTAGATATTTTGAAAACATCTTTAAAATTCTACATTTACTAGTACTGTCTCAATCTATTCATTATATTTTAAGTAATTACGTTGATGAAAAAATATGACAAAGCGAATAGAGTCCTCTGAGGAAATGGCGATGATAATTCAGTTACTAACCTGTTGAGTATTGGAGTTTTGAAGCCTTTTTTGTGCCAAAAAAGTTTATAATTCATCGCAAATTGAAAGAATTGTTGAGCAAAAGGACTTTTCTTTTTCATAACTTCCATCACACCCTTTCTAATTCTGTCGCACATCAACTGAAAAGTAAAAAGTAGCAATTTGTAAAATAATCTGACAACATAACCCTGTTACCATTTTAATTGTCGATTTGCATTTTAGAACTTACCGGTACAGCAATCATAATCGTTGGTTTGAGCAATGATGCATCTCCTTTGCAGCCAGGCATAATACCCGTTGACTGAAATAAACAAAAAATCATAATGAGTAAACTGTACGAGGCATAAGACAAGAGTAGGGAAATTTTGTTAACGGTTATTGGCAGCATATTTAATTTTATTTAATAACCGTCGTTGAACAGCCGCCCAATTTCGGGTTCACGACTGCTAACGTTCAACTCCGTAGTTTTGTAATTTTGAGCGCAATACAGAAGAAAAGGGAACTGCTGCATCAAGAAGTAGGAGGAGTTTGTCTTCGTGGAGAACCTTTTTAGGCAACTAATCCACATTTGTGTTACACGGAGAGGAAAATCACGAAAACCTCACATGGTTAGGCCGACTGCATGACTAACCCATGATCCGTCTGCCCCTGAGAATATTTTTTACTTCACTGTGGCCGATACGCAGCGGAAGTGGAATTCGTATTGACAAACCATCGCTTGCATTCGATCCAGGTTGACTTCATTGGAAGGTGAACGACCACCATGGCTCTGTGGTTAGTTTTGGAGCACATGAAGTGCATTTTCGGTGAAAAAGTAGAGAGAGATGGCGATTTACAAACTCTCAATCACCATTTTTATTATTTGTCGCCCGGTGGGTACAGTTTATTTTGTTTATTTTGACCTATAATACAGGGCATACCGTAAATGCCGTGATCTGTACTTCCAAATCCTTGTCAAATATTAAATTGAAATTTCAGACTTAATATAAATGAAAAATTTGTATTTAACCCTTAATAGGACACTTCTATTGGAGTAATGCATTCCTGTCGACTTTTACCTTTCCCGAGGAAATCTTTCGAGAGTGGCTGAGAAAGATAAATTGAAATGCAATGTTGCTAATGTCACAGGCCATTAATTGCGATTGCTCTTGTTTTCCAGTGGCGCCATCTATGGCTGAGAATCCGACTTCTGCCACACCCATACGCCACACACGTTTATAGGACGGACCCATTCATTCATCTACAGTTCTCAATTTTGACCTAAATCAGAGAGCATTCCCTCTCCAATTTAGTCCCTCAGAGGTATAATTAGCTATGGGAACATGATGGACTTTGTGACCCAGACAGATTTAACGTGCACGAGTCACCATTTACTGCACGGGGAGTCTTCGGCTGGATTTAAACTCCTGTTCTCACAAATTGAGCTCAGTGTCTTTTCCAGCCAGGCTATACCGGGCCAATGAAGTGCAATTGTAGAAAAAAAAGTAACATTACACAATTGCTATGGCCTACAGTCATTTTCATTTCTGCAAATTGCTCTTATAAAAGAGATTGATTTAATTGCATTTATTAGTAGCAAAATTATATTAAATAAAGTTTACAAATCCGAGAATTGAAAAGGAATTTATAAGATTCTTTACCCCAGTAATTCATAAAATGAAAATCTTCGGAGAATCTGCAGCTTCATGTAACTATGGTAATATGTAAAAATTTTTTTTTGTAGTTAGATTCACTTAGGAAAGATTAGCGTATTGCCCAAAATTAATTTGGATTTTTAAGATAAAGTTTCGGAATGGTAAGACGAGAGGGAATTTCAAAATTTTACTTAGTGAAAAGAATTGTTTTTATGCTTAGAAATAACAGTCTTTATAAATTATTTGCTTGCAACAACAAATAAACTGGATAAGAAAAGATTACACCAATGCACAAAGAAAAGAAGCTCCCCAGTATTATCTTTTCCCATCTCTAAACTAACATTTACTCACATTTATGTAAAACAAGCCCTACGTAGATTTTTTCCCCCTAAGTTATCAGAAGATGACCATACAAATCATAGAAAGGACAACATCTTTCTATAGAAATTTTTGAAAAAATAATGAAAATGGTGGGAAGCATACTTCCCCCAACTTTTAAAACTTTAAACTAGGAAAAAGAAAAAACATTATTAAATTATTATTAAAAAACATTATTAGAAAGAGAAGTTAGAAACATATGTTTCACTGTCGGAGTAAATTAAGGGCTGAAAGAAGATTCTTAGAGAAACAGTAAAGTTTCATATCGTGATAAAAATTGGTTCACATGCTTTCAATTTCACTCTCCTCAATAGCTATTGTCAGATTTCGATAACGTTTTCCTTTTATCCACTTAAGTATATTTTTTTATTTGCAAACTTTATTTATTATTTATTTTAATACATTTTAATATTTATATATTTCAAGAAACAATCATAAAACTGATCAACAGAAAGACTTTAAATTTAAGATAAGTGCACAAGGTAGTGCATTTAGCAACTAACTTAAAACTAAAGACTTACCTTATCTGTTAGAGTAATTGGTGAGGAGTAACCGACAGGGACACCCACAACAAAAAAGTAACATTCTATAAAAAGAATCAGGTATTAAACATACAATTCAACGCAGATCAAAATTTGTGCATTAAATGTTTGAAAATGTAAAAAGGATAACAGATTTCTAACTTAGCTTTATTTTTAAAATATTGCTTAATTTATTTTAGGAATTGAAATTAAAATATTAGATTATTCTAATTGTTAATATATAATAATTTTAGAACACACACAAATAATATTAAAAAAAAACAGACAATATTTTTACCTGTCGTTATTTCAAATGTATGAGCTAGAGGCAAATATGCAATGTAGAGATCATTTGGCCTAAAAAGAAGTATTTAGACTAAGAATAAAAAGTAGCTAAAAATATTTTTCTAGCATAAAATGATTAATTATAATGCGAATATTTATTAAATTTAAACAAGCTTATTCACAAAATTAGAAAAGGCTACAAAAAATGTCGTCACATCTTTCCTAATTGTTGGAAAGAAATAGACGATTATAAAATGTCCTAATATTGCTCATAGTAAAAACTTTCACAGCTCGAAAAAATATTTAAATATTCAACAAAATAATGAGGTGCAAATTTATGAGGTGAAATTCTTTGAAAGTGCAGGTTTGTTGAAATTAGTTACAAAATTGTGAAAAGTTTGGAAGATTTGGAGAGATACGGAAAAGAAAAGTCCGACGTTATCTTAAATAAATAAGTACTACTAAAACAATAACTAAATTAATAAAATCAAAAATATCTTAGCTTTTGCGTTTTATTTACACAAAAAGCTTCTAAAGATCTTTGACAACTAAAGCAACATAATGATGTCCTACCAACAGCTGCTCTTAGTTCATAATTGTTTTTCTATTCTAATTTATATTGTACACGCTTTATTACAAAACAAATATTTAAAAGAATTATTGTGAAAATCAACATACTTAAGGACAGGAATGCAATCTACTATTCCTGATGCAGTGACAACCATGTTTTTGTGAGTCAGCTTCACTCCTGAAAAATGGATCAATTTGCTATAGGCATTGTTTATCAATTAGCTCAAAAATGTATCAATTTGCTATAGGCAATTTCTATCAATTAGCTCATAAAAATGCATCAATTTTCTATAGGAATTGTTTATCAATTCACTTCTGAAAAATGTATCCATTTGCTATAGGCATTGTTTATCAATTCACTCTTCAAATATGTATCAATATGCTTTAGGTATTGTTTCATTAATTCTCATTAGTACATTCCGAGGTGTTTAACGTAGCTCACATCAACATTTAATGGTCTGTAAAAGTATCAGTTTGAGAATTAAGCAATTTGTTTAAGATTGTTTTTCCAAGGCTGTTTTTCGTCGTCACATGAAAAGATGCTTTTTTGTGAATAATCTGATTTTTTGTAACAGCTGCAAGTTTGTTCGTCCTGACTGTTAGGTCAAGTTCAGCTTATCTAAAGCCAGCGCTGTCTCTGCTTAGTTTGAAAATGACGCTAAACATAATAATGGAAGAAAGTCACAGCTCTGCGAAAATGAGAAACGTTTGTGGTCCAATTTCTTAATATTTAAAAACTTACTCAAATGCTGAATTACCTGGACTCAACAAAATCTGCAAAAACTGAGAATAAGGCAGCGATTTTAGTAATATCATCTAAGATTTTCATCTAAGAGGAAAGATGTCACCGAATTGGCGGTTTTAAATAAATTTTAATAACTGAAATTTTTTAAAGTTATTTGTCTGTTCTAATGCTCAAATAATTCAATTACTGATACAAATACAAATATGATTTTGATAATTTAAAAAATATTAGTAACTATTGAACTGTTTTTTGTAATTAAACATATCTTTTTGCTTATAGTTCGTGTATCATAAAGAAATATATAATCTGTACAATTGTTTCCTCTCTGAGTCGAAAGGTTAATTATGAAAGCGCCATGATTTGATACATTTAATGAATGTATCTGGATATTGAATACCTGGCGAATTAATTCGAAATTTAATTTTTTCCTGTTGCTAAATGATAGGGTATGAGATTTTTAAAGTGTTGGAAAATCACGCATCTGCTTCCATAGTCTACACCAATTGCTTGCGCGGAAGACACACATGGGACCATAGGTCTCACTGATGGTTTCTGCTGGACCTATATGCATTCAATCGAATCCAAAAGACTCATACACAATCAATTTGAAGACTCATCAGTACAGCACGGGCATAACCCATTAAAGGGTATGCGACTAATAATGTTCCAAAGCATAGCATTGTATTTTTAAACCTAACCTAGAAGTCAAAGACTTCTATATCAAGGCTTCTGGATCAAGACTTGAAACAAACTAGCCTTCGTGGAGGATTTTTGATACAACTAATCAGTATGCGCGTTGCAAGGAAAGAGACACCATAAAACCTCTCACGGTTAGAACGACGGCGAGGGGATTCTGATCCATGATCTGCCTACTATTGAGAATATTTTATACTAGCACTTTGGTCGGTGCGTACCGGAGGCATAATTCTTATCTACTAAGCATCATCAGGATTCAATTTTTGGCTTCCCAAACAAGACGGATAGCCTATCCCCTGAGCCACATTGCCTCTGCATGGCACAATTAATGTTAGAAATGGCCCTTGTAATATAAGTTTTCAGTCAGACGTCCGTGTGAGAGAAAATCACACATTTTTCAGATAGGTATAGAGAAATAAATCAGTAAAGAGATAAATTTGTAGCGGAAAAAAATACGTGAACTTAATATTACTTTTTATATATTTCTAAAATCTCTCGCCACCACTTTGAACAATGAGTGCTTCAAAGCCGTAATATCTCTGAGGATATGTGGATATGAGGATATGAGGACTCAGCCAGGCGACTCTGAGTCACATTGGCGAAGCGGGTTCAAATCCCAGCGTTATTTGGTCGATACGAATTCCGCATCTGGCTTACACCGACCACAGTGCTGTCGTAAAATCTACCCAATCTACTCAACTAGGTCAATGGAAAAAATTGGAAATGGAAGTTTCAAAAATTAAGGTGGAAAAATTCAATATATATTTAAAATACTCAAAGCAGACGACTATAATAAAGACCAATGAATACAAGATTGATGAAAGCAAAACAGATATCAAAAAAGATACGCAAAGTTATCAACGAAAAAAATTGGATAAGTAATAAAGGTGAGAACAAGAAAAACTGCGGTAGCAAAAACAAACAGTAGCCGGATGAGGCAAATCAAAACAAGATCTGTTTGCCGTAATTTTTGAAGTCAATGAATATTTATTATTGAAAAGTGTATATTTCTATTTCAGTTTCTTGAGATTATTCATTGCATACAATACAAAAGTAACAAAATAAAACTGTGTTAAAAATGAAGTTTTAATCAGCAGAATGCCTTGGATTTGTTAAGGTGTTTTTTTTTTTTTTTTTTTTTTTTTTTTTTTTTTTTTTTTAAATATCCGTCGTTAAACAGCCGTCCTAATTTTGGGTTTACGACTACTAATGTTCAACTCCGTAGGCTTGTAATTTTGAACCAGTCCAGAAGACAAGGAAACTCCTGGATCAGTATCCCCAGAGGTATTGATTTGTTATGGGAACACGGAGGACTTTGCAACTCGACAGATTTAACGTACATCAGTCACCATTTACTACACGGGGAGTCTTTGGCAGGTGGGGATCAAATCCACGAAATCTTGGACATGGGTCCAGTGCCCTACCAACCAGGCTATCCCAGCTTCTTTGTTAAAGTGTTGGGATTGCCTTATAATCATCAAAAAATTCAACACTTTCATAAAATTTGTTTCATGCATTTCTAAAATGAACTTACCCTTTGGAATGCCTGTTGAACCACTTGTATACATTATCACAGCTATGTCATGAGGACCTGGAGGATCTGGTTTAGAAACTGAAATTAATAAAATAAACTATCAAAATAAATCAACTCTAACAAAATACGCTCTGAACCCTTCAAAATCTGATTTTCTCTTTCGATTTCTGTTTTCCGGCACGCACTGACGGCGGAAAAAAAAGGTCAGGCCTGAAATTAGGCACGTGATATTGACCCCTTGTGTAACGTGGTGATTTTTGGCTTATCCCTGTAAGGTACCACAGTGGAGACACTGTTCCCAATAGAACACTGGAGTCAAATATCGCTGGCTGTGGTCAGTGGGTGGATGGCCGATTACTTAACCGATTAATCCGTGAAAAGACAGAGGGCGTGCAGGATTGGTTCTCGTTAAACTTCAGGCAGAAAGTGGGGGTGCCATTCCCTCAAAGCATCAAAATAGTCATGGCATGTCTTCGGATCATCCACAGGGTTGTTTCCCAGACCGTCGCCAATAGCCCATTGTGCAGCTGAAGTGCGACGCAAATAAATTACAACTAACCTTGTCAGATAAAGTTAAATGTCAGTGAAAATTTTAAGCTTTTTTCGGGCTTGTGACGTCAGAAGATTGTTTTCATGTACCGGATTTCAGTCTTCGTGTAAACGAATGTTAATGCCAGTAGAAAAGGAAAGAACTTACTTGGATCACAGTTTGCACCAGTCTTCTCAACCTGGGAGAATGGAATCACAGAAACCTTTTCCGGGAAACCTTTAGTATCGGCCGGTTTTATATTTTCCATGTAAACGATGTGAGTTATAGCTGGTGTTTTGCTTATTATTGACTAGAAAATTGTAAAAGAAAAAAAACAATCATGAGTTTCTTTTAACAACAAACTTTTATACATTTCACGTAAATAATAAGTACAATCTGTTTACCTTAAGTTTCCCCAGGAGTTCCTGACTCGTAATTATATGGGTGACCTCTGTTTCGTTAATTCCATGGATGATACCTTCTTCACCCAAAGTTGCGTATAATGTAGCAACTGAAAATATGATAAATTGAGAGAGGTTGATACAAGGTTATAAAAATATTTTTTGACAACAATACACAGTTTGGGAAAATTTTAAATCAGACAACTCGTGCAAAAATACACACTTAAAATTCATATTAATCTCTTGCTTGTAATCCCTGAATTTAATCAACACCTATAAGAGAGGGCAAAACTTTTGGATGGATTATTTTGGTAGTCCGACATGACCAAAATAAAGTTGGGAAAAATACGAAAGACGTCAAAACATTAGGACTACTAAAGCAGTGGTCCCCAACCATCATAACGGCACCGGACAGTGGATCAAATGGTACCGGGCTGCCGAAAAAACATTAAATTATTTCCATTTTATTTACTGTGATGCATTTTTCCGTGATTTGTGTAACTTTTCATGGACGAGAGGTTAGCTGGGAGTCAGGAGATGTCATCTAAAGTGGCGCCAATACCACGCATGTAACTGTATTTTTTGTGGGCATATTTAAATTAAATTAAATTAAAATTATTAAATCTGAACCATTTAAATAATTAACAATTAACGGCCACCCCTCTCCTCAGCTAGCTACTGTAAAATTAACAAACGTTGACTTGTCCGCGGTGACAAAAAGGTTGGGGATCGCTGGATTTCAAAGGATCGGATTTCAAGTTTCTGGTAACCAGTGCAGAGGCCTTCTCTCTTTCAGGAGGTGATAGTTTAATCTTTTGTATATAGTGGGCTGATTGTGTCTTGACAAGTAGACAGGGACAGTGATGACGTTGACCATCATTCTCTCCCTCTCAACCTTCCAAACTTTGACTTGAACTAAATCCCTAATATAGAGCTTCCCAATAAACGTAAAGTGATGTATGTTTCTCGTTAAATTTTTATAACCAAATAGTTCACTTAATTATATTAAGTAGCTAGTTTAGATAAGTAATAATCCCTTTGATGCATTAATATTTCTCTTAAGGGCAATTAAGGTCATAAAAAATAAATCATAGACTGGTTATCAGTTTTGGTTTTTGAAACATTTTTTTCGACGCTTTACAAAATTACGAATTTTGTGTAAATTATCATTCGATTCAATAGTATTTGATTAAAAGGAAGATATTGATGAAACCTTAACGTAGTTCCAAATATTTTTTTATAACAAATTAAAATAGGTATTTTATTTGTTTATTTTCAAATTTATTTAACTTTGTATTTCAGATAAGTAAAACATTTCTCGAAAGAAATTTTTAATGCAAAAATAATAATGCGAAGTCTTAGAACCGTATCTAACACCTCCTAGAGAAGAGAAGGCCTCAGCACTGGTTATCATATAAACAAGAAATTTTATTCTTTAGTAGTCCAAACTTAGAAACATATTTCGTATTTTTCATTTACTGTGCAGTTTAAGTTCGTTACGTCGGACTACTAAATTGATCCGTTCTGAGGCCTTCTTTCTTCTAGGAGGTGTTGACGTAATACTGTACCTACTTGTCTCAACACGCTTGAAATAAGTATTGCATTGACTTGCAAGACTTGCATCGCTTATCTGAACAAATAATCGCGTGTCTAAACAAATAAATGGACACAAACAATTTACAGAAAAATGTCTTACTTGGAACATTTAACCGGAAACAGACTTGACACACCAACATCCATTCAATTCTGGTTTCTGCGAATATGATGATTGGTTTCCTCGGCTGCAGACCAAGTTCGAGCATCCCTTTCGTCAAAGTTTCAATCTTCTCATCGATATCAACATAAGAAAACCACTTATACTCACCAAGGTTGATCTGGAACACATTGTGAAATTAATAAATATCCTTAAATTTTTCTGTATTACAGAATCATCAAAATTACACAAAAGTTAAATTCATGAAATTGAGCGCTTCGGATACATTTAAGAGCATACACAATTTTGGTAGATACATGATGTTTTTAGTAGCGATTTTCTGAACGGAGAGGGCTTGTGCATTGTAGATTATATATAAAATAAGTAATATAACAATTTAGTAAAATTAATTATTGCTCATCAAAACAAATGAATTTCTGACTTACGTGGTTTAATGTCATAAAAAAATTATGTTTTTCAGCAAATAATATTTTCATTAAGTGATGCGAGTTTGCAACACTATACTCATCACTGTTGGGTCAAGTTTTTATTTTTAGCCGACTTTGTTTATTCGAAAAATGGCGAAAATATCTTCAATATGGAGAACATTTACTGTTTTGAGATAATGAAAAGTGTTTATGGACTGATTTAAAAGCTTATTCCAATGTTGAGCTCATAATCCCATAATCTTTCATCCAGGTAGTGTACTGATAAAGTTCCTTTACAGTTTCTTTTTTTTATTAATCTTTGTGCCAATAGGTGGCAGCATGAGTCTTAAAATTTTCTGCTAATGACAGTGAGAATAAACCTTTTTCTAAACTTCTAAATTTTTAATATAAATGTAATAATTAAGTTTTATTGTTCAACGTTATAATTTTAACTAAGAAGGGATATAATGTAAGCCTTTAATGTTATATATTTCACTTTTTGATTGTAAATTTAAATTATACACATTTACTGTATGGTGGCAACCCACGGTGTGAGATGATTGAAAATGATTAGGTTGGTACATGCTGTTGGTGTTCAGGTGATATGGATGTTGGTGACAAAAATGTAGGATGGTATGATTGCTAAGAGGTGATTAGGTGAGTGAGCGATATGTATAGCTCATACGCTCTAGATGTACACCTATCCGGCCTAAATTGATTTTCTTCACGAATCGAAATTGGTGTGATGAAGTGATCCAAGATATGTGTCACAGGGCATGATAGTTACACGTGAATTGTTCTAACATAGTTAGATTCCGCACGTTGTTATGGCCTAGTAACACGTGTTGTTCTACCTCCACCTGAAGAAGTGTGGATATCTGTATTGCTATGAAAACTGGATAACGGTATATCTTTTCTCTCATTGGTTGGATTTTGATGTAAGCCAGGGTGTGATGATGAGCGGGTACCACATGTATTGTATATGAATTTTTTTAAAATTTTTTTTAATCTAGTCCCTTAAGGACTTAATCCTTTTTTAATTAATTTAATAAATCCTTTTATTTAATTTAGTACCTTAAACTGTATTTGTTTTCTTGTTGTATGATGAGGGAGTAATTTTTTACTTTACAGATAAACAGGTAAGGTATCCCATGCTGGAGAATTGGGGGATCATTAATAATTAAATTAGGTTAGGAATGAAATACACAACGCGATGTTTAAAATTTAAGGAATAACAATACGACCCGGTACAGTAGAAAGATGGGTTGGAAACTTTTCAAAGAATAACTTTTCAAATGTTTGAGATATTTGTCCATCCTAATGCTCAGATTATTTCTTTTTAACAGCAAAATGTCACTTTTAAATTATAGATTTATTTCAAGTGTAAAGCTGTGGTCGTTTGTGATTCAACCTAAACCAGGGAAAACACGTAACCATAAAATGAGCGAGTACGGGTGGTCTATTTAAATACAAACTTCTTTATCCATTTTTTTATGACTGTCGTTGAAAAGTCGATTCAATTTAGAGTTTACGGTTACTAATGTTCAACTCCGTAGCCTTGTAATTTTGAATTCCATTCAGAAGGCAAAGGAGCTTCTGCATAGTATTGGGCGAAATTTGCCTTCGTGGAGGACTTTTCGATGGAACTAACCCGCATTTGCCTTACATGGAGAGGAAAACCATGAAAACACGATTAGCCTGACTGCAAGAAAATTTTAACTCGTGATCTATCTATCACTGATTATGTTTAACGTCAGCACTGTAGTCACCTCATTGGAAGGCTCCATCCTCTGAGCCACCACGGACTTCTTAATTATTTTGAATTTTTCAAAATCTGGGCAAATCCTTCCATAATATTTAAAAGGGATGTATCTGTTGGTTCACTAAATTATCGTAGCATCTATGTCTTTCCGAATGAAGTATTGCTATAGACCATCCCCATGATAATAATCATGCTGCTGTTCAGTCAGAGTCATGATTTCCTCTTATCCTCCAAATTTTATGTCGACAAATTCAACTATACAACTGACGCATGTGGTCCAGCATTATCCTCCAAATACGACAAATCTTTTCCTACACAACTCACACTGACTTTAAAAAATTTAGAGGACTCGGCAGATGTTTATAAGAGTTAAAAACTTGGCAAATTAAAAGGTGATGCGAAGGTCATCAGGTCAACTTTTATGCTAGAACTGCCATTTTAGACAACAGACTAACCAGGACTGTTTGGCAGAACATTCGTTCAAAATAATATCACTCTCTACCCACCTACGCTGAAATTGCCAAGCAGTTATAATTATGAGAATTCATTTCTAAATTAAGCAATATATTACTAAATTTTATGTTAATTTTCAAATTGCTTGTAGTACATTTGACCCAAAAACTCGCTTTTCTGAGTTAATTTTGATCCGGAGACATTGGTGGCCCATGTGCACGCGTCACTACTACAACAGAAAGAAGGCCTCAGCACAAATTACCATAAACGAGAAATGTTATCCTTTAGTAGTGCAAATGTAATGACAACTTGTTTTTTTTCCATCTTCGCAGCTTAGTATTTCGAACGTAGACGCATATTTTTTATTAACCCCACTGAGCAGTTTATGTTCGTTCGTCGGACCACCGTACTGAGGCCTTCTATCTTCTGGGAGTTCAGTGCTGGCGGCAACCACTCAGCCTCCGCATCTCGCTTTCCAACTGTACAACCTTTAATTATATTAATGGGAAAATATTGCACTTCTATAGACAGTTACAGTTTTAAATAATGTCTTACTTTTTTGAAAACTTTTCCATTTTTGAAGTATTCATCAGCCTCTGAAAGAACTTCCCTCACACCCATACATTTCTTGGTTCCATATCGGACGACAGACATTCTGAAGAGTTCGTCCATGGTGTTAATGCCTTCGATGGGGTTTATCACATTTCTCACAAGTCGAACGCATGGACTGTATGGGTCATCCTCTCGAATGTTTTTTGCCTGAAACAATAAGACATTTTGTAAGTGAAGAGACTAAGTGGCAACGGCATGTCTACGGCGTTGACGAGAAGATATAAATCCCACTAAAAAAATGACATTTTCGAAGACAGAAGGGAATAATAAGAAGTCCGATCATATTAAAATTTGCTGCTCTGCGTTCTCAGAACAATTTAAATAAAGAGATGCAAAATCTTAACTGTTTGGGGAAATTAAGAAAGCTTTGGGCAGATAAAAAAGAAATAATGGGTAACATTGGTCCTTCGGAATGAAATTGAGCGGCCGAAAATTTTCCGAAGTTGATGACGATATTGACTGAAACATACATTCATTGCTTTTCAACACCTTTAACATTTAATTTAATTTCTAGTTGCTATGATGGTGATAAAAACGGTGAAGATGAGTAAAAAATATCAGAGGATATATCCATAGCTAATCAAGAGTTTCAAAACTAAAGAGCTCTGTAATATTTATTTCTTGTGTATGTGTACCAAGAAGCAAATTTGGAAACAGTATTAAGTATTGAGACGGATACTTTTGAAATTGCATCTGGAAACAAGTGAATAATTCACATTTTTTCTATTACTTCATTTCTTAAATGTCAGGTTTTGAAAAATAGGATTATATTTTTTTAACCGGATTTAACGTTTTTCCGCTATATGCATTTTTTAACGCTAGTCCCACAGAAAACGTAAAATTTGGAGTAATATAAATAAATTCGAAAATAAAATAAAACTATTTTAATGGGAAAACTTAGATTCTCTTCAGGACACATTTCGTTAGGTAGCTATGTTTCGAAATAAAGAATAATTATCCTAATGTAAATATTACTCTTTATAATGTGTCCGTGTTACTAAAAAAATAAAAAATGCGATTGAAATTGAATGAGATGAAAGAAAAAAAAAAAGCAGAAAACAAACTTAACGATATGGATTAAAAAATAAAAATGCTTTAATAATAATATATTAATTTAGCTGTTAACAAAAATTCGCAAAGAAAAAAATTAAAATGTGCTTATAGCTTATATCGAATAAAATAATTAAAAATTTTGTTTGGAAAAAATATGAAGTAAATTATATTTCAGTTTCAGTGCTGCCATCTATGAAAGAAACACTTTAATAATAATTTGAAAATGTAAGCAATAAAACCTATAATAGGAAGTTAATAAGAACTGTATTAAATATATTTAATTGTAACATATATATATACGATCTAGGAAGCATGTCTGTACGTGATAGTAACGAGCGTGAGTTACGGAACAAAGAACGATATCTGACATCTTGAATATTTACAAGTTCTTTTGTAGAGAGTAGAGGCTGCATAGATTAGTTTTTTCATACCATCAAATACCGTCATGGTATCTTCCCTTATGCTTAAATTCCTTTTGTCTTTTAATAAAGTTTTAAATTTAAGTTCAATAGATTTATCTGGATTATTGAAAAATAGTTAACTTGTCTGAAAACCGTAGTCCTGGTTGCGATAATCATCTCAGCAGTTTAAAATAAAAAGAGTAATTATCTTACCCATATTGTTCTATCAGCTTTCCATCTTTTCCATGGTTGCTGGTATAAGAAATATACTGTAAATGTAAGGATGTCATAGATGTAAATCACGCATTTTGTCAGAAAAAGTAAGACTTTAGTTTTCATATCCATGGCGGCATGAGAATTCTGAAGAAAAAATAAAAGCACACATGTAAAGAGCAGCATTCCATATATCCTTACAAACAACAATAATAAGATAGGTTGAACTCCGATTTACCCCAGGGGGGTATACGGAGATAAAAGTTAAATTATTACATCTAAAAATTTCTCTAAAAACTAAAATTACAGTAAAATTTTGCCAAATGAGAGTGGTGGTGATCAGTTAAAAGTGGATTAACTATAACATTTGACAATTAAAAACATGTTTTAAAGGCAATGAAATCCATAAAAATAATAAATCCATAACTTAAATCCATAATTAATCCATAATAAAACAATAATAATAAATAATGTCACATAAAATAAACACACACACAGGATAAATTTTTAAAAAAAATTTCCCGAAAACTGTAATAACAGAATTTTTAAATTCGTAAAATGTTTTTTGACATAGAAAAAAAATGATCATAGTTCAAAATTAATTGTGAAGAAAATTAGCATAATTTTATGTAAATTGCGTTTTAAAAATGTTTTACATTTTTCGTATTTAATTACATTGCTTAAACTTATGGTGTTAAAAAAAACGTTATTCAGGGAAGTCTGCTTTGCTTACGTATTGTACTTACATATATTTTTCGTTATATATACTTTGATATATTTTTTTATTGATTCAGAAAATGGACACAATCTGGAAAATATAATCCCGATAGTTAATATTTAGTGTCTTAAACTTTATTTCTTTCACACTAAAATACGCATTTTGAAATGTTTATTTCTTTCTTAATGGGGATCGACTTAATTTATATTTTAGAATTTACTATTCAAGTTAAAAATTTTAAAAAAATTATATGCTATATAATTCAAATATTTTTTGAAACAGTTTACGTAAATATATAATAATAAAAGTTATTGCGAGTTATTTTTTACTTAAAAAATCTTATAATTGTATTCAAAAATCATTTAACTATACTGAATGGCTTATGGTGAAATGCGCATAACAAAATTACATTAAGCTGCCAAAACTTTTGACCGTTCTTTTAGCTAACAATTGGGACCCTATTTATTTTATTATTATACTATCACCTCACAGTCATTTCTAAGGTCAAAAATCTCCAATCCGTAAGAAGAAAAAAAAAAGTGACAAGAATATTTAAAGAAAGTATAGTGCATCTTCGCAACTTGAAAATCCTGACATTAGACCAGAATTTTGTTTTTTCAAACTTTACTTAATTACAACATTTGATAACTCTGAAACGTAAAAGATTTAAATAGAAAATTTAGTCAGACAAGAACAAGAAAATTGTGATCCTTGAATGTATATTCACAAGAAAGCGATTTGTTTTATGTTAACAATTTTTATAATAAAAAGTTATTGATTGAAAAACGCGTTGCTTAACATATAAAAACCATCACAATTTTAGTGGTTCATATTATTGTCAAAACAGCTTTTACCTCACTGCCCCTAAAGGAGTTGAAATATATTAAATAAATTTACATAATTGCATTAAAATGAGTTAAAAATAATACCACCATGTATTTAAAAATTAATTTAATAATAAATTGACGTTATTCAATTATTATAAACAATTCAAGTACTGTCACTTCAATAAAAATGGTGCATGAAAAATCTATTTTTATCCTTATCTAACATGTAGCTTTATTAAGAGTAAGCATTATTAAAACTACTATAAAATCTCTGGATAACAAATGTGAAAGTAAGTCACTTATTTTCGGAACCATAAATGTTGTAGAGTATTTAAGCTTCCCTTAGGGAGGTAATTTCGAAACTTAGTGTAAAAAAACTAGACAAGCGACTTAATCAGAATAATTATTCAATGACTGGTTCACGGACGAACGTTCAATGTTTTAACCTTACATTGACCGAATCATTATAGGCTCTTAATAGTTTTTTTTCTGGACATAACTTAAAATGTAACACACAAGATATTTCTCAAGAAGGATAATTGCTAACCATTAAAATAAAATAAAAACCAAGTTCATTTAATGAACGTCCATGATAAACTCTATACACGTTCCTTGCATACATTTCAAGCAAAATATTAAGGCTAAATATGGATTTTTTTTTAAATTTTTTATTTTATCACTGTCGTTGAACAAAATATAAAGGGTAGCCGCAACCTGGGAAAATGGTCTCAATAGTTTGGACCGGAGAGCGTTACAAAGTTTGAACCCCTTGATGCTTATTTTACTTTCTTCACACTTCGTCATATCTCAAGAACTTAGTGAATCGAAAAAGTTTTACACAGAATTATAAAATTCGTTTACCAAAAGATAATTCCAAGCAAAAAATAATTATTAATAAATATTTATTATTTTTTAATAATTTAGTAATAATCAGATAATGATAATCAGATAATAATTTAATAATAATCAGAGAAAAATTTGAATTGTTAGGTACCAAATTTTCATAACATTTTAAATAATTTTGTTTCACTTGGAGAAATATAAATATTGAGCGAAAATTGCTAAATAATTCCAGAGAAATCAATTTTCTTTTTATCATTTTTTCTTCGTTTTCTTCATTTTTTCTTTTCCTTTTATTAAACTATTACTAACGCTCTTTTGATCAAACTATTGGGAGCACATTTCCCAGATTGCGGATATCCCCTGTACTTTGGGAATCAGAAATTCGAATCTATCCAAAAAATATATATTTATTCAGAAAATCTATGTATTCGTGTCTGTTTTCGTAATGTAAAATATCGTCTGCGCTAATTAATTTGCATATTTAGGATCACCCCTAGAACTGTTAAAATTTAGTCCTAGAACGAAAATCCGATCACTAAATAAAGTTATTCAATATGATATTTTTTTGCGCACTGTTCATTGCTGAGTTTTTTAAGAGCGCATTAAAAGATAAAGTCCAATAGTTGTAAAGAGCGCATTAAAATATCAAATCATGTGTTTTTGGATGAAAAAAAGGAAGTATGCGCTTCAAGCGTGACATTTTCTAGTTTCAGGACGAAAAATAAAAAAAAACTACACACAAAACTGTTTGTTATTCAACCACAGACTCAATAATGAATGCAAATTTCTTGTTAAAAGAAGCTTATAGGATTAGTGCTTGTTATAATGTGCTGTGAATGCCTGTTTTGTGACTAAGAGTTGACGAGCCTAAACTTCGAAGGAGGTCTTTTCTGTAAGGTATTCAACCGGAATTCCATGGCTTAACGAAGAATTTCGTACATAAACCTTTCTCATTTAAACACTAAGAATAATCATTACGGGTAAAGTCCACTTTAGAACTGATTGAGTATACAGATATATCTTTTCAGGCTTTCCTTTCGCATTATGATCACAAAATCTTGAAGCAGTTCTTAAAAATCTGAATTCTTATTAAGTTAATATCATTAATTTATTTTATAACCGCGGTCGAACAGTCGTTCCAATTTTGGGTTCATAATGTTCAACTCCGTAAGCCTGTAATTTTCAAGTCAATCCAGAAGGCAAAGGATACTCCAGGATCAAGTATTGGGAAAAATTTACCTCCGTGGGAGACTCTTTCTGATGGGACTAACCGCATTCGCGTTACAGGGACAGAAAAACCATTAAACCTTCCACGGTTAGCCTAACTATCCTTCCCCACTGAGGATATTTTAGTCAGCATTGTGGTCTTTGCGTGCCGGGTGCGGAATTCGTATAGACAACCCATCGTTGCGATCCGAACCCGGTTCACCTCATTGGAAGGCGAAAGCTCAGTACCCTGAGCCACCACAGCACAATAACATTTTATTTCATATTTTATAACAGTCGCTGATCAGCGAAGCCAATTTTTTAGGTTTACGACTACTAATTTTCAGTTCCATAGTCTTTTAATTTTGAACTCAATCTAGAAGACAAGGAAACTCCTGAATCAAGTTTTGGGAGAAATTTGCCTTCATGAAGGACTATCATTTTAAACAAAAAAACATCTATTTTTTGATAAATTTAGTTTAAGAAATTTAATTAAAAGAATATTTATAAATTGAATGAAACATTAAATAGGTTTTTAAGAAGAAAAAAAATGGAGATTAAAGTCTATCGACCCAACTGGAATTTGATTTCTTGACCTCTTCTTCGGTATAAATAAAATAAACATGTAGTTTCAAAAGCACTTCAGAAATACCGATTCGGTGACGTAATCCACCAATGCTACATGTTCATCGAGTTTATCCGATACAGGGATTAAAAAAATACGGAAATACTAAAGAGCGTGAAAAAACTCCTCTTTTTAGTGCTATAAGCTAGCAAATATCTTTACTGGCAAATATAGAAAATCGTTCGCAGTCTCATTTTTATCAATTGCAAGTGCTAAGCCTATGAAAATTCTTTACGACAATTCACATGGCTCTACCGAACGGACTGATTAAAAAAGTTTGATTTTAGGAACGGGGCAAAATTTGCCCCTTGTAGCCGGTCTTAAAATTTCAGGATGTTGGAACAAACTGTTCTGGAATTATAAGTGAGAGACACAAACACGCAGATAAACTCTTCTCTTTATTATAATAGATAGAGTAATCCATAATGAATGTGTGGGTATTCGTGATCTCCTTGAAGCGTAAGTACCCAATTACCTTATTATGAAACATTTTATAATAGGTTTGAAATTAATAAATGACTGATAAACTTTATTTATTCTTAAAATAAATTTTATTCTGAATTAATTTCTTTTAATGTATGCAATTAATTCAAGCAAATTCCATCTATTGGCTAGGACAGCGGTTCCCAACGAGTGTTCCGTGGAACCCCTAGGTTATTTGGTTATTTTCAGGTCTGTGCTAAAGCACAAAAATATTCAGGGAGAATATCAGAAAATTCATTACAGTAAGAATATCAGCTACTAGAGTGCAACTTAATTGAAACAAATTCCATCTATTGGCTAGGGCAGCGGTTCCCAACGAGTGTTCCGTGGAACCCCTAGGTTATTTGGTTATTTTCAGGTCTGTGCTAAAGCACAAAAATATTCAGGGAGAATATCAGAAAATTCATTACAGTAAGAATACCAGCTACTAAACTGCAACTTAATTAAAAACAAATTCCATCTATTGGCTAGGGCAGCGGTTCCCAACGAGTGTTCCGTGGAACCCCTAGGTTATTTGGTTATTTTCAGGTCTGTGTTAAAGCACAAAAATATT